GTCTTTTAAAGATGATCAGTCAGATCTTTGCACAAGACTGATTCTCTAGCATTCTCCAGAGATCAGTTTATACGTGGGACATTTAGTTTAAACCAGACCCAAGTGCCATCTATCCCCCTCACCACTCTCCTTGCTGACGAATTCTGCAAAGTGTTGTTTCATACCACAAGGAGCTTGATAACTTAAAGCATTTTGAGTCAGTTTTTTAGAAGTAGTGACAAACTGTACTTTCACATGACTTCCTGATTTCATAATTACGTGACACAGCGATTTTTACTGAGCTGTTTACTGTCATTGAGGAAACAGTGATAGCTCCATGTTTGAGAGCACTTAGCAATTACATACATACATGCCAAAAGGATCATACTAGTCAAACCTGTTGGTGGAAGTCCTAAAGCATGTACACATCATTTCCATCTATTCTCTATGTACAGTTAAAGTTCTGATATTCTTTGTTATTCAAGGTAAATGACAAAATATGAGGGAAAAAGCTTCTATGAGGGCTTTTTTTCCCCTCATGTAGAAGCTTTCGTTTCTATAGCCACCCAGTGAACCATCTCCATTTACACAGTCTTTGAGCCAGGGCAGTGACACACAGCATGACACTGCCTTCGGGCAGTTTTGGTTTAATTTACAACAGAAGGCAGTGCTTTGGATTTCCTCAGCTTGTAGCTACATACTTTCATATTGCTACTCCTTTTCATGGGAGTTTGTTGTTTTCCATCACTGAGTACTTAAGCCTTGTGCTTACACATGACATACAAACACACAAATGGTGTTTTCACCAATTCTACTAGTTATAAGTTACAAAGCATATTTGCTATATACATGCTAACATAAACCAAATGAGATTTAATTTTGTAGCTTTCTGGTAGTATTGCTCCAGCTTTAGCAAACGTTGGGGCATATTTAGTTTGGCTTGGGGCCCTATACACAGCATTAAAAAAAAAAAAACATTCAATGACTAGGCAACAATAGTTTCACACTCCAGGCAGCTGTGTGATTTTGACACTGCTGTGTGTGCGTGTGTTTTTCCTTCCATATAAAAACTATGGGTCGTCTTACATGTATGTCTTATCTGACGCTGTAGGAGGCTGGAGAGTTCTGACTCTGTTGGTATGTGCATACGTGAGAGACTCCACATAAAGGGCTGCAGGTTCAGTTTAAGTACACTTAACGAGAATTTAATTTTTATTTGATTTCAGTATTAATATTTCGTTATAGGTAGGTATACTTAGTTAGTTAGTTATAGGTAGGTGACTAGAGGTAAAATAATTACTGTAATTATTAAATTTCCAGCTGTTAACATGTAGGCATCTCATGAAAAAAAATACTAACTTATCCAATTATTCTTGAATGCGGCACATGGATCCCCTACTCAACCCAGTGAGCTACGCCACCACCCAGTCACTACTCATTTTTATTAGTGGATGACAACTTGAATATTTGAAAATCATACCGATTCCTGTCACAATATGATAAATTACTGCTTTTTCTCTTGTATTTAAGGCTTAATATGTTACACTCCACTCTAAGAGCCTCTAAGAGTAAGAGCCATTGCCACCATTACAGTTTCATCCATCCATCTTGCCCAACTTAGGGCTGGAACAGTTTTCATGTAGTGAGAGGTAAAGTACTCCCTAGGCAGGCGGCCTGTCTTTTGCAGGTCTAGCATAAATGGAAAGTCATCCCTTCACACTCACATACACACTTATAGCTAATTTAGAATCACCAATTAACCTAACATGCATGTATATGCACTGTGAGAGGAAACAGAAAATTAAAATGTATAAAATTGATAAAATCACTGGAGGAGTAATAAAAATTTAAAATAGATTTTAACTGCAGTTCTACATTAAGTTAAAGTTAACGCAGCCCATTTCAAAATCAATCATAATAAAAATCATACTGATCAGTTTTTATTAGAGATGTTTGCGCTCCCATTATCTAGTTCATTTACACCAACAACTCCAGAACTCAACACTAGAATGACCATAAAGCTGAATCAACACTTTGCTTAAACAGTTTCATCAAACATGGACCATTATAACCTTTATTAAGGTAGACTGTATTGGAGGACTGTTGTATAAGACCACTTTAGATTGTAAAGTACTGTCAGATTAAATCTAAGGTGTTTTTACAGCAGCTGACTTTACTTACTTTTCATTTTTTCCACTGACCTGTATAGACCCACCTGTTGTTTCTTAGACACTAGTGTTTTGGAAACAGGTTATACTGTACTGAGAAGGCCTAAGACTAAAGTAGATAAAAAATAATTCTTATTTTATATCTGAAGAGCTCAACACAATACAGATTATCCAATCAGAACAGAGTGGAAACAAGTCAGAGGTTGCTTCTGTATTAAATTACTGCCAGGACAGTTTTGTGACATAAATAACATATAATCTAATTTTTTCAAGCTTTTTGTTTTTTAATAAACTAGTATCAAAAACAAAGATATCGTCTGGACAGCTTGTAACATAACTGTTAGAAGTCTTTCAGCCCTTTGTAACAATCCTGATATATATTTACCCATTATAAAATTGATAACATTGACTTCAGCAACTGATCAAGACCAATGCAAATGTTCTGTTGATATATTAGTATATCTCTAGTTATCAAAATGCCATCCCCATCATTTGGTTAGCTGATGATGTCACAGAACAACTCATTTTAATTCCCAATCAACTTAATCACATATTTTTTTAATGTAAATTTCATAAAAAGCTTTTCATAGCATAATTTGAAATCTAGTTAACTTGTTTTGTCTGACAAACAACAGAAATGTATCATTTACTACCAAAATAAAACAAAGTTTTTTATTACAATTAAAAATCTCGAAGTCATAAATGGTATTTATAACTGCAAATTACGCAGTGCTGAGCAGTGTACCAGTCTTTCATAAATGCTGTACCAGTTAAAAGATACAACGCCCACCGTGTCCTTTCAAATAGCTTATATTATTATTTATCTTATTACTGCCATGGATACTGCTGAAGCGCATGAGAAGGGGGCTTTTATGACTGTACAGTCTTCTCACTCACAGTTCCTGTCCTATGAATCATACACATTAAAAAGGACAGCCATTACAAATCTGCAAATAGCTCTCTTCAACTGGGAACAATCCTAGGACACAAGTTGACAAACAAACTATTTAATTAATAACTTCATATTTACACAATTATGCCGCTTAACAGCATACTGGGTAATTCCTCAAGGCTAAAACACTGTTTATCCTGACAAGTCCAAATGGAGTTTGTATCAAAGCTTTACAACAAAGACTTGCTATATATTGACTTTATTTAAAAACAGGGGCAAAGGTAGCATTGCAGCAAACATTTTATTTTGAATGTATTATGTACCATTTAAACACAATTTTAAGACAGTTGAGCCCAACTGCTGATATTCAAGCCCCTGTTGATTGCCTATCAACTCAAAACAGCTTTCTTCTCTGACCTCTGGCACAAACAAGGCTTTTTATCCAAAGAGCTTTTGCTCACTTGATATTTTCCCTTTTCCAGACCAGACTGAACTTCAAACTAGATTGTGAGAGCACTTGTTTTACTTATGCATAGTACAGAGAGGTGTGTAGGAAAATACTCAGACTAGCCCATCTGGCACCATCAGTCAAACCAAGTTCAAAGTTATTGAAACCACTTTTCTTCCTCATTCTGATGCTAAGTTTAAACTTCAGCGGGTTGACTTGACAAAGTCTCCATGCCTGAATCCATTGAGTTGCTGCCATGTGACTTCCTAATTAGGTATTTGTGTTAATGAGCACTTTAAGAGGTATAACTAATAATTGTGAATGTATATTATTTAGGTGCGCTGTAGTTTGAAATGTATTCAAACTAAAAGGGTTTTATAGAATTAACTCCTACAAGTCACGAAGTGAAAAAAATATTTGGAACCTATATGGTAGGCACAGAAATAATATTACTAACAACATACCTGGATATACTGGTAAATTCCTCTTAACTAATGCCTTATTTATGACCTAAATTGGCCAAATATTTATGACTAATTATGAATTACAGTCTAGTTTTCATACACATGGAAGTTCTTTTACTTATGCACACTATACAGCGTATGAAGACCAACCCGTCATGCTTCTTGACATGTTGCCGGATGCCATTATGCAATCACCAAGACTTCAAAGAGCTCAAAAATAAACGTCAGCCTCTCATTTCAATGTAACGCCATTGCTGACGCAATTATTGCACATATACATATCCTCATCTGGATCAGCACAGCTTCGTATCAAATCATGTGAACCTTAGCATTGGCGAACATTCCAGCACACACAGTTAAATGCATCCGAGCAGGAAGCATCTGTGTCAGTGAAGCTTTCCAGAAATAAACAGAACAGAAAATGAAACCATCTACAACTCGGGAGAACACGAATTCCAGGAACACAGATTTCAAAACGGTTTCCGAATAGTCCTGTACAAAAACCCGTCATAACCGGATGATTTTAAACTATCCTACCTACTGCGTCTCATATTCTTGATGCACAAGCAATATCACACAACTCCATAATTTATATATATTATCAAAGGTACACAAAACTTTTTTTAAAAACCTATCGAGTGTTTTTTTTATCTTGCGGTACTGATAAAAACCTTAAACACTCAATTATTTAGGAGTTTCTTTTTCTGTCTCCGAATTAGCTTGCCGTGCCTGCGGAGGAGCCACAGATGTGATGGAACTGCTATTCGGTGCTATCCGTTAGCCACTAGCTCACAGTGACCACAAATGTAGTCGCAAACGGTTTTAAGCCCCGCTGTGTGCTTTAATATTAGTCTCTACGTAAAGACACATATAGAGCAGATATATCATATCAGGTATACATGAGGGAAAAAATGATATAAACACATAATAGAAATGGTCAGACAGAGTTAGCTTAGCAGGCTAGCATTAGTTAGCGTTTAAGATGCTGAGAGAACCAGAAGAAGAGCTGTTAGCAAGGAAAGCTAATCAGACGCTCCGGGGTACCTTACCAGGTCAAAACAAACAGGAAAGCGGAGCGAGATGCATTAATTTCTTGTTTCGTTTCTGAAGCCGACTTCTGGTGAGACGATAACTTTGACGAGATCAAAGCAAATAATGTAGAAATATCGTCGGGAACATTGCAAAGACACTCGAAATTAATGTGGTTCCTGTTTTTTTGCTCAGACTGGCTCGGATGCCCGTTCGCAGGTCGTTGCTTGGAGAGACTCGCACACATACACACACACACCCTCCAGGGACGAACCTGCCAAATGCTGGCCCCGCCTCTTTTACTGTGAGCGCAGCAGGAGACAGCTGCCAAATACTGACCCCGCCTTGCAGACAGCTGTAGACTAGCAGAGACGGCTTAAAACGCATCTGTGGCTGATTTCTTTATCTACTTAACAGTAATAATCCAGTGTCAAGTATGTGTTTATATATATATATATATTTGGCTATATTACACTATTGTGCAAGACTGGTTTTTGCCCTGAGTTGTGTGGCTTTTTTATATGTAAAAATGCTCTGGTACAAGGAATGGACTGAAAATAAAATAAAAAGCAGCCAATGTCTAAAGAAAAATTGTGAATTAATTTCAGAAAGCCTGGAGAACTGCTGCTCACTTTAAAATATTACATGCAAGTCTGGCTCCTTGGAAGCAAAATATAAAGAAAGGAGTGGCAAGAGACTTTTGCACAATGCTGTAAGTTCAGTCTAATAATCTCTTTATTATATTTTAGAAATAATGAAGTACTATTGCTATTGTATGCTTAATAATTCAAAGATTCTTTTATTATTACTTGCATGTTAGATATGTGTTTGTTTTGTTTGTTTTTTCTCTTCCAGTGTTTTTGTACATTGCTTCTTACAAATAAAACTAATGAATAAATGTATAAACTAAAACCTTTAACTTTACTTTATTAAGCACCCCTTTGTTCATATGCTGGGAGAATAATAAACCTGAGCCTTCACAACAAAGTCCACCCCATAAACTATATGTGTAACAATTGTAACCTTAAGGTCCACAAGTGTGCTTTTTTTTTCTCGAGCTTTTATATTCAATTTGCTGCCTTTCATAGCAGATAGAGTTTGTGCAGTTACATAAAGATAGCTGCAAGTTAATTAATCATTAAATGAATAGTTTATGTGCCTATACATAAAACACTGAAGTAATAGAGATAACATATGCTGTTATGAAAACGTAACCACTTTTAGAGATTTGTTAAAGTGAATAAAAGAGCATTACACGTATTTGATATCCAGCCAGCCTATACTGCACATAGTGACATGATCAATACATGTACTATATTAGTCATGCATTATATTACTTAACATAAATGTATTTTATGCATAAATACAGTGGAGCAAAGTCACTTTCAGGACATTAAATGTGACTGAATGGGTATTTACCGCCACCTGGTGGAATATGTTGTAAGAAAAAAAGGTTTCTTTGCTGTTTCAGTTGAACTACAATTCAATAATTCAATAAAATGAATTAAATACAAACACAAACTGACACAAGCTCTATAGACACTCTATAGACACTTTATTGCTGTGTTTATTGTTTAACAATCTAAGGAAGGTCTAACAGTGAGCTTGGTGGGCTATTTCAAACACACACCCTCCAAGAATCTGTTACCAAAACAAGATTTAAATAGCAAAAAACAGCTATAATGCAGTAATACAATATACATGATGCTATAAAGTCTTAAGATGAATTTATTCTTTATTCTCAGTAACGTACAGGCTATATGTTTCCACTTCCAAAATGCTTCTTTATATATATATATTCAGCCAAATCGTCCCTAGCAAAGCATTACTTTTCCAATGCCTTTCTAACATCAAAATAACACAAACTCCATCATAAATGACAATTCTGATAACAGCCAACATTTCTACTATCAAAATATATATATAAATCATACAACAAAAAAGAAGACATACAAAAGAAACTTTTTTCTGTGTAACCAAATCTTGATATAGTTCATTCTTTTGTGCCACTGAGCTTCCTTATTGTCCATAAACTAATAAAAAACACACCAGTAAGCCAGACTATTTCACTGGGCAGAGTTTGAAACTATTGATAATGTCACTGTAATTTATTTTTGCTTTACTGTTGCAGGTGCAGTAAAGCCCAGAGCACATTTTACTTCTGTCTGACAAATATTTCCTAAAATTATTCTAATTATTATTATTTTACATTTTCAGCAGGCGTTAAAGAGTTTAAATAGGTTTTAAAATCAAGATGCTGTCTACTGGTGCTATCGCAGGCCTGACTCATCCTTTTAAGAATGCCACGATATGTAGGTCAGTTAAAAAAATATTTCAACCAGTGTGAAAATATGGAAACATATAGTCATTCATCATAAACAGCTAGGATTCTTATATTCTTAGTGTACTTAGTAATGACCTATTTGGACAATTTCCAGTAAACAGACTGTAGCAGTGATGGCACAAATGACCTGTTTGATTTTTTTATATTTTTTTATATTTATTGAATCTGCACTCTTAGTCTGAGAACAGTTTGCAAAAAAATTGATTCATTGTCCCTCTGAAGAGGAATTTTTATTAAGATGGAAACAGTTAAAACACTCACAGATGCGTACACACACACACACACACACACACACACACACACACTGACTGTCGGACCTCCATAATCTGTCTGAATAAAAACAACTTCTGTATAAAATATAATCACACACTGACTGACTCTCCTCTACAGATACAGAGAATCTAATTTATGGAGAACCTTTATCCCGTTATTTCAACTGCACCCTTGTAGCCAAACCTTATACGCTGATTATATAAATATACCTGTCATACGGAAAAGTGGAAACTGCAATGATTAAACACCAATACACTGTATTTCTAAGAGAAATATTTGCCTTTCCTCAGAATTTCTTTTTCTTGCACATTTTTCACCAAAGCCAAAACAGAACAGAAGCCCCTTTGAATAACAACCATACAACTGTTTGAACACAGATGGCGTTGTCCACAATTTGACAAATGTAACTACAGTGGCAAAGACTGGAGTGGTGAGTGACTGTAACTACACTGATGGCCAACTAAAGCGAGCCCACCAGCCTATGTACAAATTGTAGATATCTCTTGATGCGCTTGACAGATCTCAGGCAGAGGAAGTAGAAGTACAGCTTCAATGCAGATTACATCTTGTACTTCACAAATGTAGTCCTGGTGGAGTTGGTGTCCTTTGTTTGTCTCACACGATCCTTGTGTTGAGAGCGACGGTTTTATGCTTCATACACCCTGTGGAAAACAAACATATATCTCTTACGAGATTTGCTCCTTTGGTTGTAAACAATATAGGTTTTTTTCAGCCTCCTAAAAAAAGGTGTCTCTGTTTGAGTAGCGATCAAATGTTTACATGTAGTAGAAACATGACTTTAATGCTTCTGTAACCAACAGTGTCCCTTAGAAATGCTGTTTTTGAAAAAATACGTCCAGAGGACTTTTGTCTAAGACCTGAGTCTGACCTCTGAAGTTAAAAAGACTAGTTTCAACAAAACAAATCAATAAAGCATCACATCTTTATTGATGGCCACTGGATATGGTTTCAGCCCGGAGTCAGGGATAAAACTTGAAAAACTTTATGTGCATATGTTTATGAGTGGTTTATGCATTGCTTCTTAATGAAATGACAAAGAAGATATAACATGGTAATTTTTAAGAGATAAGGGGGCGATCGTGGCTCAAGAGTTGGGCGTTCGTCTTGTAATCGGAATGCTGATTGTTAATGCATATCTAATAATATCTAATCAGCCAATCACATGGCAGCAATTCACTGAATTTAGGCATGTAGACATGTCCAAAATAACCTTATAATGCTCAAACTGAGCATTAAAATGGGGAAGATGATTGTTAGTGCTGGTGCGGGCTGGTTTAACTATCTCAGAAACTGCTGATCTACTGGGATTTTCCCACAAAACCATCTCAGGGTCTATAGAGGCTAATCCAAAGGGAAACATTCAGTAACAGTTGTCTGGGAAATACTGGCTTGTCAGAAAAGAATAGCCCGACTGCTTTTAGATGATAGCAATGCAGCAGTAAGTCAAATAACCATTAGTTACATCAAGTTTTGTAAACATTTGACTATATATATATAAGTTATGAAGCTTTGCGATATTGTAAATACATGAAATGTTCTTTAGATTCTTACTTTTATTTACTTTAACAAATCTCTAAAAGGGGTTAAGTTTCCATAACAGCATATGTTATCTCTGTTACATAAACCAGTCCTCATGAAGAACAGTGCTCTTTAATGAATTCAGCACAGACTAACATCAAAGAGGTAGCAGTGACACACATCAGTTATCAGCTAGCCATCTAACTATATTCTAACTCTAAACCTTTACCGACTCCGCTTTACTCTTATTTTGCGACACCACCCTCTAGTGGTGCAATATGATATAAACATTACAGAACACAACAATTTATGTAACTGCACAAACTCTATTTCCCATGAAAGGCAGCAAATTGGACATAAAAGCTCAAAAAAAAGTACACTTGTGGACCTTAACTGTTACACCGATAGTTTATGGGTTTGACTAAGCTAACTCTGTCTGACTTACGTGTTTATATAATTTTTTTCTCATGTAAACCTGATAAATGACCACTAGATGTCACTAGAATGCAGATCACGCTCAACTTAATTCTGTTTTGTTATGCCTACCAATGCAAGAGTAAAATCCTTGCTATGGTGGCCTCCATAGGACAAACAACTCTAGCTGCTGTTTATCTGTAGTGAGTGTAGGCTGTCATTCTGCTTTCACCTCAGCTGACAACATGGATCTAACATTTTTGGACTGGGACTCTTAGCGACACTTTGTCTCTGATAAACAGAAGGAAGTGTGACTTTCAGAACACTTGAGCCTAACATTAGCTGGCATAATGTTAGCTTATACCCAGCTGCTGTTGTTTTTTTTAGTCAGGTTGTTATCATCTGTCCAGGGATGGGAGGCTCACATGTCTACTCTGCTACCATAAGTAAATGTGACAGTATTTGGAATAAATAAATGTGTTCATGCACGGTTTCGTTCAGATACAGAAAGAGGATGACTTTTTATCTAGACTTATTTATTTATTTATCTAGGCCACGTGTTTGTTCTGTGTACTATGAATTAATTGATTCTAAGTTTGTAAAAATGTTTAGATCAGGGGTCAAACATCTACACCAGGGGTCTCGAACCCTAGGCCTCGAGGGCCGGTGTCCTGCAGGTTTTAGATCTCACCCTGGGTCAACACCTGAATCAAATGATTAGTTCATTACCAGGCCTCTGGAGAACTTCAAGACATGTTGAGGAGGTAATTTAGCCTTTAAATCAGCTGTGTTGGATCAAGGACACAACTAAAACCTGCAGGACACCGGCCCTCGAGGCCTAGGGTTCGAGACCCCTGGTGTAGATGTTTCAGTTTGTGAAAATCAATTTGCTGAAATATATAATTACACATTAAATAACCTGACAACACGACTGACTGTACTTTTAACTAACATCACCTGATTTTTATTTATTTTTTTATTTATTTTTGGTGTTAGGCTATTACCTGTGCTTGTCCTTCCAGATGCGGAACCATTTGACCAGGTTCTTAGTGCTCTGAAGTTTGGGATGAAGACAGTACTCCTGCCCCTTGAACCGAGACACATTCTCCATTGTCACACTGAGAACAGGAGCCGAGAAGAAGCAAAGGTTAAATACTGATTTTAAAAAACACAAAACATGACATGTAGGTTTTCCAGTCGGTATCAAGTACACATGTACTCTTGAACACTCTTATTTATTCCTATAAAAATGAAAAAAGATTTTTAAAATGTGCAAAAAGTTATTTTTGCACATGTGGCTGCCAGCTGTTCAGTAAGATCGCTTTTAACATTTCAATGCCTACATCACTTATGAAAAAAAATAATATAGTGGCCCTAAAGGCCAAGCACTTACCGGAATCTGACTGCTATCATATCATGACAACAAAAATGGCTAGTGAGCAAAATAAGAACATTTCACAATGAAAGTTTTCAGTTTGACTGGGAGGGTTAAGTTCAGCTTAAGAACTCAAAGCACAACTTCATTGGAGTAAAAACACTGTTGTGAGCAAGTCAAACCATCTGAAAGCCAGTCTGAGTCTGCTGAATAGAGACCGGTTAAGTAGTAAGACAACTGACATGTTTTTGCCCCAAATTTTAGTGGCTATTCTAAGCTGCCTCCAATAACATCTCCACAGCTGAATGCCCTCCGAATTCAAAAGATCCGCTTGCACAGCTTTGCCAGCTTTTTTGGCAATGAAGCAATATTATGGAGCTGCCACTTAAAAATGTGACATCTAAGCTCATTGAATCAGTTCATCTGTCTGTTGTGCTCTGCTTTTGGCAACGACAGAGACAGACTGCCTGTATGTGGCGTATTCAGACGAAAGAAGCGAGCGTGGTAAATATAAAAAAACAAAAGACCCACCATGCTAGGGGGCCTCACTATCCAGTGACACACTCAAAGGCTCAGCAAACCATGAATGCTAAATGACTTGACTGCAAAGGAACTTGACTTTTGATTCGAAGGCTGTATTCAGTGGTTATAAAGATTAGATTAAAGAGTTTTGCCTCTATTTTCCTGCCCATTTGGTTGTCCCTTTGTTTCACAATTGATGCCTTAGTTAGATAGCTCTGTGTTCTTTCTTTTGGAAGAACTGAGTTCTGAGTGTGTTTGATGGATAGAACATGAAACTTCCTGTGTATATTGCATTTAACCTAATTAAAGTGATCGTTTGAGCTTTGGTGCCGACTCATTATCATTCACCTAGGTAGCTGAAGCACAGCTAGTGACTGAAAACGTCCGTGAGTTATAAGGACATTAAAAAAAGGAAGGTGAAGATGAATGAAGTCCAGGGAAAAGACAGAAAATTGAGAGGACAGGTAGGAATAGGGAGATGGTATATGGGGCTCCTAGGCTGTGCATGTTTGTGGTTAGGAGTGGCTGCTGAGAATGCCAAACTAAGCGCTGTAAGCCAAACGACCAAAGTGGGGACTCTCTTGCTCATTTCTCTCCCACCCTCTTTCTTTCTGTTGCTTTCCGGAGCCTGCTGAGACTCATTTTTCACCAGGCACTAACGGCTGGTGGGCCCCATCTCATGCTAATAGAGCAACCTTGAATGATGACTGTGTGGCGCGTAACACCCTCACAGAAAAACAGACCTGTGAGGTGATGCAGACCAAATACAATATAATGCTTCTGACAGGTTTGTTCTTTTGGAATGCACACGCAATTTATTTCTTGACTGACTTGATGTGTGACTTTGCAGCTGTAGTCCTCCGCCAGCCAGTTACGTTGCAGTTCATGTATAAAATATGTAAGGTAGGAGTCATGAATTCAAATAGCCCCTTTCAGCCTTTATCATGAGTGATGACTTTTACAGAGTGTTACATTTATTCGTATTTACAGTGGAAATTCTTGAGTTAAGCCCCAAAATGTTTTTTGTGAGGTTAGAGTGACCATAACCTCTGACCCTCAAAATGTAATCAGCTAAGCTAACATTTGGCTCAATTTTTAAGAAACTCCCTTAAGGCGTTCAAGAGCACATCGCATTCATAAAAATATAACGTTCGGATAGATGGAGACAACATCTAACAGCTATTTTGTAACTATTCAGCACTTGAAAGTTGAAATTTTCAAATGAAATTTGAAACACTGATTAACAAACTAAAATTTTCAATTTCTTTGCTGTACTCAACAACAACCAATTACCATAAAGTACTGGGCATCTGTAACAACATTAGGACATTAATGAATGATTTTAATAGTATAAATGTACTTGGAGCTTAAATAAATTATTAATGATAAAACAAAAACGGAACAACAGCTAACTTAAAACTTAATAATCAATTTTACTTAATTAAAATTGCTATAAAAGCAGCAAATTGTGAGATAATAGGACCTAGTTTTCCATTTAAAATCAATTGATATGATAAACTGACTTAAATAGTTGGATATTATCTCAAACCTTTTGTAAAAAGTAGAAAAATCTGTCCACACATCGCACAGCCTGTGTGTCCTCTGTGTTATATTGTAATGTGTCAGCAGGTGGCAGCAGAGATTGTGCATCGAACACCAAGCAGAGTCGCAGGAGGCTGACATAACATCCCCATCTGCTGTGCCTTCATTTAGCTTTGAAGCAAAAACTTAAAACTATAAAACGCACACAGCGTTTTATAGTTTTTATTGGTTTCTGTGGGGCTTCATTCACATCAGCTGAAATCATGTAGTACAGACGGTACGCATAATATGAATGTATTTATAAATCTCCGGTGAGAGTGTCTGTCTTAAAGCGCTACAGGTTACTCCTTTTGAAATATAATTCATAGGAGAAGAAAAGTTGATGCTGCATTCCTCAGTAGCTCAAAATGAGCATATTAGCTGTATGTGTGCTTGAACTTTGACCTGAAAGGTTAAATGTGTGATGGCAGAGAGAGGCAGAAAGATCAAGCACTGATCTGTGATTCAGCCCATTTTTTATTGTTTAAGTACAAACAGTCGTTTGAACACACAAGCATCACATTATTCTTACATTAACTAGACTTTAATAGATTAGTAGAATAGATAGATTAATGGACTGCAGCATTATGTGATGCTAACATCTCACACTGCCCGTGATGTCTGAATTTACAAATAAAAGTCTGGAAATGTTCATGCTTGAGTAATTGAACATTGTGGAATGTTCTGGAAATCGCTGCTTTCTTCATCCCCTCCTTTTCAGGTAATAAATCATCCCCACCTCCTGTCTACAGGGAGTAATTAAATTATCAGTTTATCACGCTGTAAATCTTTCAGAGTGTTTTAGGCACCGACGAAAAGGTGTTCTCGAAACGCGAGCGCAGCTGCTGAATATGTTTACAGTATGTTGGAGGAACGGCTTTAAATATGCTGGTAATCTGCTAATTGTATGATTTGTATTCAAGGCATGTGCAGAGTACACGCTGGAAGAAAAAGGGGATGAATAACCAGAGGAAAGGGGGGAAAACAGGGAACACAGGTAAGCAGGTAGGGAAATGTCAAGGGATTAAGCAAAAAGAAGAATGTAAAGTAGGAATAAGAACTGAGGAAAAAAGCAGAGAGAGAAAGGAGAAAATGCAGAAATGACATATGGAGAGTGACACACTGAAAGAGAATCAAAGTGTGACTCACAATATCATCTTCTCCTGGCAGAACGGGTGTTTGGGTTTGATCTCCAGCTTCTGCACATCCTTGTATCGGATCTTGGGCCCTTTTCTGGTGCACCTGCACTTGTAAGCTGTTGAGAAATATAACGCACACATTACACTGCTAACACACAAATCGAATAAACTTGTCATGCAAGCTCAATTACTTCCAGTGAGACTGACAGTTATTTAACTGACAGGGAAGTTGATTCTTTGCGATCTGACAGCAAACTGGCGTGGAAGCACAACGAAGTACTCCCGCTTTATCTTTGAATTCTAATTCAAATGACAAGTGGGTGTTATCTGTTTCTATATTTATATCTGGCAACACGCAGCTGAAATTCCATGCTTTTACTTAAGTCACAGTCAAAGGCACATTAAAATAGAAATATAATTTGGCATGCAGTTAAACCCCTTTTTATATTAAGCGTGACCAAAATGGAAACATCTGTGCAGAGAGGAAATTGGCTTGAATTCCACACTGTACGAGTTTTACGCTATTGCTGATTGTTCACTGCACATCAGCAAAATTAAAGATGCTGCATTTATCCCATTAAGCTCAGACGATGCATGGGTTCCTAAAGATCTTAATGCCTTGCACGAAGAACTTGAGACTTCAGCTATCCTGCATTTATCTCACTATCATGCTGCTTCTCTATCAGACACTAATTTTATAAAATTCCTGCACTACAAGCACTAAGGGAGAGACTATGCACCTCTTTAATTAAAGCTACATGTCATCTTACTTCTGAAGCATACACATATATTTAATAATGTCTGTCCATCATCTTCTGATCAACTTAAAATGATGCCTGTTCAGGGCAAGTTTTCTAGCTGTAGTAGTGAATATATTACACAGAGGAAATTAGTTTTGCTGGGCTGTATGTTTGTGATGGGAGGTGATGACCTGGATAGTCCAAGGTTTCCCTCATCCATCATCTGCTATCTGTCCAGACCGCCAGGCACTAAATCTGCCACAAGCCCCCACAGTGGAGCGCGACGGAGCGCCAACATATCAGACAACAAAGGCCAATAAAAATGGGCAAACACTGGTGTTACTATATTGTCAAAGGCAAACAGCTTCACCACTTTACACACTGAACTGAAAGAGATGCCCGTTAAACCTGTTCTCAAATGACGTGTATGTTTACTTTCATATATATATATATATATATATATATATATGGTGGTAAACACTTATACAAAAAGTCAGTTTCCATCAGAATATAATAATGCTCCTGGCAAATACAAAGTTTTCCCACAAAGTTTGACAGCTGCAGACATGAAAGGAGAATCTATGATACAGAAAGAAAAAATGCATTTTAAATAATTATGTAAAAACTAAAATTGGAATATTTTACTGTTAATTTAGTTACATATGGGTGGCTTCGCTTGTCTTGCCAGACGCTGTATGTCCCAGAGGGCTGTTCAGGGTGCAAGGACGCTTGCCAACATAAGGCTCATCATAACACAGATTTCTTACACCACAGTGGTACTCATTATTACAGTTCAGCTCCAAGATCTCAGTGTTTATGGACACTAGTACACAAACAAAGTGCCTAATTGAGTGCACGCTACTGGTAACACACTGTTTATGCCAACCTAAATTCATTTTTGGAGCACAGGCATGCAAGCAAACGCACCACTGAGTCCCTTCAGCAAAGTTGACTTCAGCTGTTGACTCTGGTTTCAAACAAACTCCGCACAGCACGAGTTGATTCCTCAATCTTTCCTTTCACGAACACAACACAACACACCAGGCGTTTGCTTTCACCTTCCACCTATTTCCCACCTGCCGATAATTGTTCAGTTATCACAGCTTAAGCGCCGCACAGCCCATTTTGAAAAAATGACAAACTTTAACTAAGATAAACAGGAAAAAAGTGTTTACCTTCTGCGCTCAGGCAGCATAAGGCCACCACTAACAAAAGCAGCACCGTCGTGCACCCACGCATGTCTTCACAAGTCCAAAAAGATTTTTTTTAAAAGAAGTTCCTCAAAACCGGAGCCTTCCAAAGCAGTAAATACTGAAATATCAACAAAAAGTCTTTCGATATGTAGATAGCATCCACTACTGGGAGGCAGACGTGAAGAGCAATGGGGATTTCAGCTTTTTGGGGTCCCTTTGGAGCACTGATTGTGCAACTCCGTCTGTGCGTCCCGAGCGCTTGGATGAATCTCCAATCACTCGTTTAGGTCTCTCTCTCCCCCTCGCTTGCTGTGGAGAGGCAGGCAGCAGCTCTTTTAAAAGCTGCCCGCTATCCCATTCTCATTAATATGCACGACCAGACAGCGAATCAAACACTTGTTGTGTCCTGCGAGGGAGAAGTGGAGAACGTGGAAAGGGAGGGAGGGCAGGAAAAAAAACAAAAACGCACGTATTGTTCACCAAAATCTGGAAGGATGACGTCTGCTGGTCTGTTCGTCTCTTGTCCTGATTTCAGGCTGACAGGCAGAAAACTTGGTGGGATGAAGAAAACCGCCACGATGACAGCAACAACAGAGCCGAGACAAAGGAAAAGTTCCTCCTCGCTGACAGGACAGTGAAATTGAAGGCTGACGTGTACGAAAATACGTTACCTAACACACATTGTGGGTCAGTGAAGGCAACATTTAAGGATCAGAGACTTAAATTGAAGAAAAAAATCCGTGTTGTTGGGTAAAAAGTGACAAGTAAAAATCACATGTTTAAGAATATATATGTTCAAGAGATTCAATTCATTTGCTGATAGAAAACTTTTTTTAAGCATACACGCACATTGAAATCGTGGAGTATATTATTTTTCTCATTATTTTTTCCTCAATCAGATATAACCTATAACATAATAAATATTGATCAGTTTAGAGAAAACATAAAAAAAAGCTATAGACGACCTTTTAAGATTCCCCTCGCCTGACGTCAGCATCTAAGAAAACTGGACTGATTCGTTTCAAACGCCATTGTCACGAAAACGTAATGAAAATCTTACAACCTCATGTCTGATCACATTTGTCACTTTCTAACAGTCAAATAATTTTCTGTCCTTCTTGCGTTTTTTTGGATGTCCCTCAGTGAAATTCAAAGCTGATATTGTTTCTGTGAATGCTTTTTAGGCTTATTCTGTTCCCTGCATATGAATAAATGCACTCATTGTATCTGGGGATGCCATCAGGCTGAACCTTTGGCCTGTAAGAGATAGCCCTGAGAAGAAGGTCTGACCCCTCCCACCTGGAACTCTAACCACAGGATTAAACCACATTCATCACCATCCTGCGTAATAAGATTTGTGTGTGTGTGCGTGTTTCCCATACTCACTTCCCACTTGTGCTTGTGTTCACCTCTTTGCCCCTTGCACTGATGCAATCAGATTCTGTCATAACTCAAAGCAGCAGCCATGAACTGTCTGTCCGCGCCATGTACCTGTGTGCATGCATTTGTTCATGTCTGCATGACCATATTTGTGGGTGTGCATCTACACGAGTTCTCGCAGCATGTACATCTGTCGCATGCTGCAGGATTACACGTGCGCGCCGCCAAAACACTGTGCAAATCAGCTGTGAACCTGTCTTAATATTACCACCTCTTTGCCAATTTCTTCTTTGTTCCCTTCATGAACAGCAGCGGGACAAGATGCCAGCCATCATTTTCAGTGGACTGTGACAGATTAGGATGTACGTGACCCCCACAGGACATTGCAGCTGTGTGAATCTATCCCGTTTTTTGATCTCAGGATGAAAGACAACGGTCAGCTGTCTGTTTCAGTCTTCAGCTGTAATGACTGAAAATAACTTGGACATGAGTTGTCTTCATCCATTAGATCCTTTTAGCTACAAGAAAGAAAGAAAGGAAGTGAAGGCAGCAGTTAAAAATACAGGAGGACTTCAGCCAAACCGAATCTGTCTTGAAAAGAAAATAACATCATTTGTCAGCCTTAATAAGCTGATGTTGATGATGCTTTGGAGAAACATTTTTTGAAGTTTAGCTAATGATTACTAACCAAAACATAATTAAAAACACTGACAATATATCAACATTTGATCTTTGCATTCACATAAAATGAACACTGGCAGCATTGGCAGTGAAGCAGAGAGCATAGTAATAGAAAATGTAATTAGCGGACCAGATTTTCCACAGATGCTACATAGCAGTTGGCTCAAAAAAACCCCAAAACAAAAACAGTAATAAACTATGGAAAGCCTTCAAGCAGTTGTTGCCAGCCTTTCTTCTGTCTGGTGTAGCTCCACAGCAATATCAGAAGAACGCTACACAGCACATCCACATCAGTGCAATTCACACTCTAAACAGAAAAGGCCCAGCTGGACACCGTCGCCATTAAATTAGTTTTTGTTTTTTTTTTAAAAACCATAATAATTCAACATTTATATGTTGTATTTCTTCTCATGATCGCATCAACTGTTTTCTTTAAGACAGCAAAAAAAATCATGTGTCATTTTAGAAGTAAACACTTCATATTCTGACATTTTTTCTCAGAGTAGAGAAAACTTTTCTTCACTCGATCAAATAAGACAGCTGTTTTCTGAAAGTGGCTGTCAAAATACTCCAGCTTCACTGCCCGCCTGCAGCTGTGGCTCTCTTCAGTTCTTTGGACTGGACTGAAGGACCACATGTATTTACACAGAACCGTACTGCTTGCTATATTGTAAACATTTGTCTGTGATACTAAGTTACACTGTGTCCATCGGCTTTTAATGAACCTGGCAGCGCTGTAAACGCAGAGCTAATCCGCAGGAAAACTGTAAAGTTTACCCCAAGATTAAACATAGCAGAAGGTGGATATAGTGTTTAGATTGGAATGATATGTAGTTAAAGAGGGAGAAGGAGAGACAGTGGCAGACAGAGACGCAGACACAGAATATGTTTATGTTGTTGGGAGCTGAGTGTCTCAGTTAAATGCAGGCTTCTGTCTGTAACCAAAAAGCACAGAAACTTTTCAGGTTCAGCACATCTGCCTGTGTATCAGCTGTTAAGCTCTACAGCTGTTTAAAAACTTGAGAACATATGTTTCAAACTGTACGGGTGTCACGTCCGGTGTGGCAGACGTGTGGAATAGGAGATAGGACCCAAAAGGCGGCAGTTCTGGTGCAGATGAGTATTTATTTACAAAAGAAAATACAACAGCAACGGCGCGGGTGAAGGTGTAACAGAAAAACCTAAACTGGGCAAACTAACAAAACAAACCAGAAACGTAGATGCAGGGAGGTTCGGGGAAATACATACGGGGAGACGCAGGGAGACCGAGGGGAAACAACACAGACGAACCAGCACGAGGACGAGGTAACACCCTATAAATACACACGGCAGGAATCAGGGGATGGGAAACAGGAGGGGAACACACCTGGGAGACATCACAGCTGA